TCTCTCTCTCTCTCTCTCTCTCTCTCTCTCTCTCTCTATATATATATATATATATATATATATATATATATATATATATATGTGTGCAGCCCAATGTGAGAGGTGTTAGAAATAGATAAAAAGAGTTTAAGTCTGGTTGGGGAGGTGGGGGGACCATGAAAGGACTGTGACCTTCATTCATTCATTCACTCATTCATTCGGGCTGTCTTCCAGCAAGTATGAATTAAGCACTGCTTACACTGGGCTTGATAGGCAGCATGAGTGTAGAGACCATGGAGCTTTGGGGTGCAAAGGAGAGAGATGCCAAGGGGACTTGGTGGTCAGGGAAGGCTTCCTGGAGGAGGAGACATACAGGCCAGTTTTTTTGTGGGATGGGTAGTGTTTAGATGATGAGAGAAGAGAGAGTTTCACCCAGGATGGCCCTTTCCGTGAGCTGAGCTAGAGGCAGGGAGACTCTATGTTCTGAAGACTATTAACCGTGACATTGGGCTTCTCCGTGAGCAAGAGTTTTTAAAGCACCTGCATGTATTGCACCTGTGATCAACTCCACCATCTGCACGTCATCCCTCCTGAGAAAGCAAACCCTGCCTCCTGGGCGCTGGAGCCCCTCGCCTCCATGTTCCCAGAGGCCTGGCTCCCCCTTCCCCCATCCCTGTTGTCCACCCTGTCTGGCCTCAGCCAGTGCCCTTCAGTGTCTCCCACTCGGCATGTCTAAGCTTCTTCAATGCTGTCCCTCCTTAAAAGCCAAAAGGAGCGAGGCACGACAGAGCTCTTGATCGCAGGTCTTCCCTCCAGCTCCTGTTCTGTGTCTCCCCTTTTCCACCACAGCCAGACCCTACAAACTGAAAGTCATGACTCCCCCAAACTGCTTCTACCCCGCTCCCCCATCGCCAGTCACGGGGGCCATCTTCCTGTTCTCCTTAGCCTGGTTGTCTCTAGCAGTTACACTATGGACCACTCCCAGGTTCTTTAAACTCCCCGCTCCTGTCTTCTAAGACACACTACTGCTGCTCAGCCCACTCCGTCCCGGTCAGCTTCCTGAGCACATTTCTTTGAGCTTAACCGTCAGTGGGTTCTGCCTTCACCCCCATGGGTCTCTGCAGAGGTCCAGGTCCACACACTCATCTGCCGTCGTGAGACATCCCCCGGACGTCCTGCAGGTATCTCAGCGTGACATGTCTCTCCATGAATGGACAGTCTGACCCTAAACGAGCTGCCTCACTTATAAACCCCATCTCAGGGAAGGGCACCAAGCCATGAGCCTGGGAATCCCAGGAATTGCCCCACAGCCTTTCTCCCCACTCACTAAGTTGTCGCTTCCATTTTTTGTTGCTACTTCCATGTCTTGGCGATGGAGATTGAGTTCATCCCCACCCCTGCTGTCTGTCATCCAGGTTGGGTTATGTTTTTCTTTCTAATTGTGTCAATCTCTTCATTGCTCTCTCACCCCCAAACCTCAACCTCCCCCACCTCCAATGCTATCCTCTTCCTGAAATACTACTGTGTCTCTCCTCTTTGTATCTGAGTTCACATGTCCATTCCCTGGTGGGTTAAAGCTCCCTGCCCTGACACATGGCCATTTATCCCCGGTCCCTAGAAGAGCACATGCACTGTAGGTGTAGAGTAATGTTGGTAAAGTTGGTTGATCCCCAAGAGAGGAAGTGATCTACCTGATGCCAAATCCCCATGGTCAGCAGAGTGAATGAGGCTTCCTAATTCAAGGTTACAAGGAGCCTGTGCTCTCTTCCCTGGCCCCACCTCCTTCCAACCAGGTCCAGAGAAAGAAGAGGATGATTGTTAATTGCTAGGCTCTGAATGAGAAGTAAATATTATTTTGAAAACATATAATAAATGTTTTGCCCTATTCAGGGAGACAAATTAAGGCTCCCCGAAATGTTGAGCAATGTATAGGTTTTAACTAAGTGAAGAAAAGAGGGAAGGTGATTCTAGACAGAGGAAATGGCATATGCAAAGTCTCGTGGTGAGAGGGTGCAAGACACAGAAGATGTGAGGACGCTGTGGTCACTGGCATACAGAGAGCTGGGTGGGAAGATGGGGCCCTGGCTTGAGAAAGGGTAGGAGGGGGAGGCAGGGGCTAGACCATGGAGAGCCTTGTAGGTTGCACTAAAGGTTCTTTTTATCCTAAGAATGACTGGGAGCTATTGAAAGTTTTAAGCAAAAGTGTGTCATGATCAGGTTCAAATGTTGAAACGAGGACTTTGGCTTAAGTGTGCAGAAGGAAAGGGATAGGGAGTTAGAGTTGATAAAGAGACATGAGTTAGGAGCTTCCCTACTAGTCCAGGTAAGAGAGGGGGCTGGGGCTGGGGCGATAGCAGTGGAAATGGGGAAAGGGGAAAGATTCTAGATATATTTAAGAGGCTTTGGATGCAGGGGCTGAGGAAGAGGGAGGTGTCAGAGCATTCTTGGCTATCTAGCTTGTTCACCTGGCTGGATAGCTTGCTGGTACAGCGAATAATGGACGATATCAGATGTCAGATTTGGTGATGGGCGAGGGAGATGTAAGAAGGTCATGAGTCCGTCTGGGGAACGCTATCTTTGAAGTGCCTTTAAGATATTCACAAGATGTGGCAGACTAAGCTTTTGGGTACAGAAATCTAGAGCTCAGAGGGGAAGTCTGGCACGAGAGAGAAATGTGTGAGGTGGTATCAGAGGTGTGGGTATGGATGGGATTTCTTAGGAAGTATAGGGTGAGAAGACAGGGTGCTAGAGGGCCGATCCTTAGTGAACACTTATAAACAGGTAGAGAGTCTTCGAGGAAGACAGGGAACGGGCAGCTAGACAGCGGGGAGGAGACCCAGGAGGGTGATGCTTCACAGAAAGCAGAGTGGGGACGGTGGGGAGACGGAGGACGCTGTCAACTGCTCTGAATGCTGCTGGGCGTTCAAACAAGGGGACTGCTGGGAAATGCTGAGGTCAACTCACAGCAGGCAGAGGTGGCTGATATGAGAAGGTTTTGTCCGAGTGATAGGGCAGGAGTCTGGAGTAGAGTAAGTTGGATACTAAAACGCCTTGTAGGGGTTTTTGTTTTTTTTAATTTAAGTTTATTGAGGTGACAATTGTTAGCAAAGTTACATAGAATTCAGGTGTACAATTCTGTAATACATCATCTGTATATCACATTGTGTGTTCACCACCCAGAGTCAGTTCTTTTTCTATCACCATATGTTTGATCCCCTTTACCCTCATCTACCACCCCCCTCCCCCCTTACCCCTGGTAACCACTAAACTATTATCTGTGTCTATGAGTTCTGTTTCTTCATTTGTTTTTCTTGTTCTTTTGTTGTTTTCAGTTTTGTAGACCACATATCAGTGAAATCATATGGTTCTCTACTTTTTCTGTCTGACTTATTTCGCTGTGCATTATAATCTCAAGATCCATCCATGGTGTTGCAAATGGCACTATTTCACCTTTTCTTATGGCAGAGTGGTATTCCATTGTGTATATATACCACAGCTTCTTTATCCAATCATCTACCCAGGGACACTTTGGTTACTTCCATGCCTTGGCCACCGTAAATAAAGCTGCAATGAACATCGGAGTACATATATCATTACGGATAAATGTTTTCAGATTTTTTGGGTAGTTTAATGCCCTATGACTATGGGATGTGGTGTTTAGATAAGCAATCTATACATATACATACACATATAGATAGATGATATGCACACAGACACACACATGCACACTTGCACATGTATGTAGTACGTCTTCATGTGTACCTATACTCGGAAACACTGCGAGTCACATCGAGGAAGCCTTCTGCCTTCTTAGAACTAAATGCCTTTTCTGAGGACACCGCAGTTTGCCAGATGCTCCGTTACTCACCAGGCCATATGGCTTTTCAGGTTGGAAAGGTTGACTTCATCTTCCTTAGATCATATATGGAACATTACTTTGTTCCATGGAGCAGGAAGCCCCCAAAACCCTTTTCTCCATGTCATTTCTGGCTGGCGCCTT